ATATTATTTTCATCTTACATATATATATGAAGTATTTTAGATAAATTACGTGCAATGTGTGCATATTATCTATATACTTGCTATCTTTGATGGATGAACCATATTATACATGCCTTAATTGATTTAAATTGTATATGTATTTTATATTTACAAATATGTTGGGTAAAACATGGGTAAATAAATTAGATGATGTGTGATGAAATAAAAATTGATGAGAGGTCTCGATGTTTAAGATGATCTAGTCATCTAGTAGAGTATAGACATACTTATTAGTTATTGATACAGGAGTATGGATCATACATACCAGATCCGGGAGTATGGATTAGGTAGAGAGGTTAGTTTTAGATCTAGGAGTATGGATTAGGTATTTTTGAACTATTGCTTCACCAGTTGTAATTTAAGAACCGTGGCAGCTATGGACTTAGTGCCTAATAGATAAATGTTGGTAGCTAAGGACTTAATTCCTATTAGATAAATGATGGAAGCTATGGAATTAGTACCTATTGTATTAACCCTAACGATCATGCATACTTGGTGCCCAAACCCTAGAGACTATGCATACTTAATGCCTCAACCCTAGCGACCATGCAAACTTAGTGCCTAAACCCTGTTGACCATGCACACTTGGTACCTAAACCTTAGCAACTATGCAGACTTAGTGCCTAAACCCTAGCGACCATGTAGACTTGGTGCCTAAACCCTCATGACGATGTAGACTTAGTGCCCGTTGTGTAAACCATGGTAACGATGGACTTTGCGCCTAATGTATAAACCCTGGCAGCGATGGACTTCGTGCCTATTCCTTAGGTCAATCCTTAGGAATGAAGGATATATGATTCTTAGGGTAGAAACTTAAGATTAAAGAAGATAATGGGGATGGGTAATTGGGTTGATGGTTTGATATTTAAAAATAATAATTATATTATTGTGGATTGAAAACCCTATGTGCTCACCAGATTTCCCAACCTGACTCACTCAAGCTTATTTTTATCACATGTGTCGATACGAAGCTACTTTTGTAGCAACCCAAAATTTAAGACCAAAAATTTCTTTTAATAAAACATTACTTTAAGCAAAGTCATCATTCCAAAACATAATCTGAGTATAAGTTTTCAAAACACATGTTCATTATCAGAGTAAACATTCCCAGGTTGTCTAATCTATGGTGTGTGCCATGCGATCACCCCGAGCTCTTCCCTCCGCTACCGGAAGTACCTGAAACCAAAACTGAAAACCATAAGCACAAAGCTTAGTGAGTTCCCCACCCTACCACATACCATGCATAACCACATACTGCATATACTAGGCTACGCCCGCTATGTTGGGCCTCGCCACCTACCTCGGGCCTCGCCCGCTAAAACGATCCGCCACTCCAGGCCCCACCTGGCTTCGAGCCCCGCTTGGATACATATATGTTTTACATAGGCCTCGCCTATCACAGGGCCCCGCCCGCTAACAAATAATATCACATAAACATGCCACAACACATAAGCTAAACTCATACGACTGATCTTGTCCTAAGGCCTCGCCTATCCTGGGCCTTGCCCTTGTTCTACTACTGATGAGTCATGGAACCCCGTCCACGCTCCTACTGGTAGTGAGATACGGCCCCAGCCCACTCTCACTCCCTTTCTAGTTTGGGCCTCGCCCCTGTTCTACTACTAATGGGATATGGAACCCCATCCACACTCTACTATTGGTGAGATACGGGACCTCGCCCACACTCACCTCCTTACCAGGCACATACATGTATCACACAGACAACAAGTATAAACTGTCATATAAAGAAATCCTTGGGCACCCGCCCGCTATTACTAGACCTCGTCCTGAATATCATACTAGCATACTGTACCTAGGGCTAACCCCCGGGTCTTCTACTCGTAACTACATGGGCCGACATTATGGCCTTAGACCCATTCACACAAAAGGGAAACTCACCTGCACTGGCTGAACCTGTTGATGATCTCACTAGCTGCTGCCTGGCAACTCACTGAACTCCTGCTCCTCTTACTCCCCGAAATACCAATATCAAAGCAACACTGAGCCTAACTGACCCCCGAAAGACAACCAAACCAACTCTGGTCGAAGTCAAAGTCCTGGTCAAAGTCAACCTTCCAGGTCAACCCTACTCGCCGCGTCACCGTACTGACTCGTCGAGTTCAAATGTTCAGATTCCTTCCATTCACGTCTCGACTCGCCGAGTCAGTCCATGACTCGCCGAGTCTACCGATTTCTAAGTCCTAACCTGTCCAACTCACCGAGTCTCCACCCGACTCACAGATTTGAGTCTTAACTTGAAGGGTTTGGGGTTTTTCAACCTGACTCGCCGAGTCCAAGAACAGACTCGCCGAGTACAAGGCAATCTTCATCTGACTCGACGAGCTGTTCATCCCACTCGTCGAGTTGCTCCACACCTTCATGCTACTCGCCAAGTCCACTCAAAGGACTCGCCGAGTCCATTCAAATCCCTTTACATGCAGAGGGATTTTGAGTCATGCATGGGTTCCAACTTATAGATCCATACTCCTAAAGCTCAATCTTCACGTAAAGTTGCAGACTTTACGTATAACTAAAGAGATCTAGGCTGAAAACACTCTAGGGCTAGGTTTTGGGACAAAAGGGCTTCACCAACTCCTCATCTTTTGATGCTTTATGACATATTAGACCATCCCAATACCAGATCTGAAGTGGCAATAACTTATCTAGGCCCCAAACTCGAATTGGGTCTCAAACAACCATAAAACCCCCAAATCTTATAACAAAAGTAGATCTAGATGTAAAGGAGGGAAGATAGCAGCGTGTTACCTCCAAGATGAACACAACTGAAGTAGATATCGGATGTACACCTCCTCCTTTGAAGCAAACTTCTTGATCTTCAAGTTCCTTTCCAAAGTTTCCTTCCTCCAAGCTATTTCTCTCAAATGATGGAAGCTCACACGAAATCAAGGGTCAACTGGTTCTCTAGGATGATATGGGGGCTGAGGGAGGGACATAACATCCTTTAAATAGGATACAACTCCCGGGATTAGGATTTTCCTCGTTCAGACCAGACTCGCCGAGTCAGCTTGGCCGACTCGCCAAGTCGGTCACTTACTCCTCGACCCGGATCCCGCTCGGACTCGCCGAGTTCCTCCTTGGACTCGCCGAGTCGCCCCTTAAAATTAGGGTTTTCTTTCCTTTCTTGGCATTCCAAACTTTGGGTGTTACAACTTTACACTAAGAGATTAAAGGAGATGTAGATCATCAAAATGAATAAATGTAAGGTTTGTTTATGCTTATGTTTTAGTATTGACGATGACATCCTAAAGTTTTAATATGAACAAAATATATTTCTTCGGAAATCCTTTGATAACGTATTTATCAAGTTTTTCTGGAAACAAATTCTGCAACATATTTATTAAAAAAGAAATACTTTGATTTTTATAAAGCATAAACAAAATCGGTCCTTTATGGCCATGAAATTGGGGATGTCACAATTTGTAATATATCATTGAAAGCCAAAGTGTATCTTTTGTATAAGTAAATCCATACTATAAATTGTGTTCGTAATAAACATTTGAATATCCTTGAAAACCAAACTATTATGTTAAATAAGTAATTGTATACTTAAAAGTAGCTTTGAAAGCAACCATGTCCATGATTGTGGTGAGATGGAGAGAGATATTCTAGTTAATGTTTTTAGTAAGTCCTATAACCTAGTTGTGTGACTAATAGTAAACCCCTACAACGCTTCATTGGACGTTTTAGTGAAAATTATAGTACTTATCACCTGCTTCGATTGATCAGTTGAGGGTTACAGCTAGCAACTACAGATGGGGATGTCAACCCCGTATAGATCTATACATATGTATCTTGTTCTGAAGATTAACGATTATAGTCGTGTAGGTATGCTAAGTATTTACACTCAGCTAATGAAATGCGTCTCACTAAAAATCCTTTAACTAAAAAGTTTGTGAATAGCTCTCCGCCGTAACTTACTTGTGGGTAAGTCACTAGGCACAATGAATATCATTGTATAAGGTTTATAAAAGCCGAGTATGTTTGACATATATGTCAAAGTGTAAGAAGGTTTATAAAAGCCGAGTATGTTTGACATATATGTAAAAGTGTAATGTACTCGCTTTTATAACAATAAATGTTTCAAATTTAGGAACATATGTACATGTATAAACATGGTGTCATTAAACATATAAATAAACATGTTTAATAATAACTTTGAATCCTTGAAATACTACAGATTTTCATAACGTACTTGTTATAATATGCAACGTCACATAAAAATCATAAAACTCTGTATAATGTAGTATTTGTTGTGTGAACTGGATATTTCACGATAAAATAATAATAACATGTATACAAAAAGTTTTCACTAGTTTATTTTTAAAAACTTGGTAAATTGTTAAATAATAATATCTTTATAAACTATGTTTTTTCTATTGTCGCATAAAATGGTAATTGGTTTGTATAAACAAAATATATCGGCACATGTAACAAATTTACACTATAGGGGTTGCTTCGTAATTCCACAATTCTTTGTGAGAAACCACAAATGCACAATTCTTTTCACTATAGGGGTTTGCATAAAATGGTAATTGGTTTGTGAGAAACCGCAAATCCACAATTCTTGAACTTTGAAATACTTTTGGGACTATTTCGTAACAAATTTACACTATAGGGGTTGTTTCGTAATTTTGATAAACTATAGGGGCTGTTTTGGTTATTTAATTAACCGAAGTGGGACTGATTTGGTAAAAATAATTTCAAAGGAGGGGTTGTTTTGAACAAATGGATTCAAGGGTTGGGGTTTGGACTGATTTTGCAAACTATTTGTCAAACAAGGGTAAGTTTTGAGTAATTTGAGTTATCTTTGACTTTGACTGGGTCAAACCCGGAACCCATTTTTCTGTGTTGGAGCTCGATGACCGTCATCCATTTAATAAAATGGTTAGGGCTTATAAGGATATTGATCAGACGAAGCGAAGAGTGGAAAAACGAACAAGATGGCAGTGGCGCTGCCGTTGGTTTCGGGGGTGAAATCACGAAGGGGACGAAAGGATAAGGATATTGATCGGGTTAAGGGAAAAGAATGGAACGAAGGCTGCGTCGGAAGATGTACGGAAGTAGTGAACGAAGGTAGACGAAATCTCGCACTTGCGCTTCGTCGGTTTCTTTCTGATCGAAGGCGAAGAGGGTATCTCCGGGGTTTGGCCAGGCCGAAGCAATGGAGACGGGAAGAAACAACGGAGCTTTCTTCTTCTCGTTCGGCTGCGGGGTGCGAAGGGGGAAAGGAAATCGAAGGGATTCTGGGAGGCATCGCGGACAGCTGCAGCGACGAAGACGGGGGTGCTCCGTGGGACTTCGGTCTCGGTGGGAGAATTGCTTCGATCGGTAATCAATCGTTACGTGAACCGGGGTTGGGCTGGCATCGTGAGGGAGGCTCACGGGAAACGGGTTGTGGTGATGTTGAGACTCACGGGAAACGGGTTGTGGGTGGTGGAATCGTGAGGGAGGCATCTCCGGTGGTTGCAACTATGCGATCGGGGGTTGGAGATGGGTGGTTCCCTGTGGTCAGGGGCCACCGGTGATGGTTCTTGGTAGGTGCAGGCAAAGAAGAAGGTGGGTCACGACAGGGGCAGTTCATCGATCGGTACCCTTCTTTTTCTTTTCCTTTTAATTTTACTGTAAATCAGTGGGGTTTAATGGTGTAATGGTGGGTGTTTAAGGTGGCTGGGCAGTTTTATGGCTTCCAACTGAAAGAATGTGGAATCTGTTGCTTCTCCTTGATTGCTCACGATCATAAGATGATATAATATGTTTGAGTGTTGGGTCCATTGACAAGGAACAAGGAAGGAAAAGGGAAGGAGTGAAGCCACATCCATGTCCAGGAAGAATCAAGGGGTGCATGTTTCAGTTTAGCAGCTGGCTGTCCTTTTATTTATTTATTTATTTATTTATTTGTATTTGTGTATGTATTAAATTTGTATTATGTATTTGTTTTATTATGTAGTGAATGTATAATTTGTAATTAATAAATTTGTAATTAATAAATTTCAATATGTATTTTGTTTGGTTTGTATTTAGAAGGAATGTAATACCCACATTATTTGTGTATTGATTCATTTTACTAGTTATATACACTAGCATGCCTATTCGGGTATTATATAAATTGAAATTCATACATTAAAAATATAAAACTTTTAATTTTTCAAATCATTGTCTCTTAAATTTAAAATAGACACATGTATATTTATTAGATATATATAAAGAATTGGAAATTTATATATAATGAGTGTCCAATTTGTCATTATACACTTATAAACATTTTTCATAATACAATCTAAAATACATTTTATATATATTTATTTATCGCGAAGTATACCTCAATTCCCTTGCCTTTGTAATGATTCATATAAATTTTCTAAAAGTGTGTTCTTGGTTTAGGTCATGGAGATTTCACAAAAGCAGAGAAAATTGAATTCTGTTATGCTGGTCTTCGTGAAATGACGTTTAAAGTTTTGTGTTTGATTAAGCTGAAAACGTCTGATTTTTTTTTCATTTATAAATATTTTTATCAAAAATATTTCAAATATGAAATTAAATATTAGGCTATAGCTTGAGTCCAAAAATGGTTTCGAACATTCCATCTGAGGTGTGTAAGTCCATAAATGGATAGAAACGGTTTTATTGGTTTTAAGAAAACTAGTATTATACTGGTTTTGGATTCTTAAAACGGCTGTATATTTTGCATACGTACTCCATTTTGGATGTTCTTTATATTTTTGGAATCAAGGGAACGCGTGCTACGAGACTAGAGTGTTTATATTGCTCAAAACCGCTTAACATAAATTTTCAGTTTTTTAGTCGCATTAACCAAGGTTGTAGTTTGAATTGTTTGATTTGTTTGTCAAATTATATATTTGGAAGTAAGATACCATCTGATATCTTATAATAGTTGAAGTAACTCATTTATTTTACATTATATTTGTTGGATCAAAATTATGGTTTATACTTTGCTTTTCTAAGCAACTGTATTTTTCTGTAGTGTAATATGTGTTTGCGGCTGTGTTCATGGCCAGGTTGGTGTGTACGGCCGTAAACTCGTTCACGGCCGTGAACTTGTGTCGGCCCATGTTCCCTATAAATATAGGTGTAAGGGGTGAGAAGAGTAGATGAGAGTAAAAGGCTAGAGAAAAACATAGCATATTGTAGAGAGAGAAACTAGAGAGAAGAATAGTGTGTGTGGAAATCTATTGTAAGGATCTTCATTCGTGTTTAGTTAATACATCATAGATTCAAGTTATTCTTCTTCTCCTTCTCTTCTATTTTGATCTGGAATCATCCGTTTGATTGGGATCCAGCACCGTCAAACGGATCTGATTGATACACAAGCAGATTTGGGGACTTACAAGCGGTATCAAAGTTTGGATTGTATCAATCAATTTTGTTAGATCCGGAGTGTATTTGATTTTATTTTTGAAGGTTTTTTGCATTTTTGGATTGATATTTTAAAATTAAGGGGGGGGGGGGGGTGTTCTTCGCGTTTTTGATAAAAACGAGTTTTGGATCGAGTTGTGGAGCAAAAAGGTGAAAATCGCGTTTTTTCGTCGTAAACTGCGAAACACCGTTTTCGACCGTAAAACCCGTTTTCGGCCGTAAACCCCGTTTTCGACCGTAAAACCGTTTTCGATCAAATAACTTTGTCTTCAGTTCTAAGGCTATATTTTTGGTTTAAAAAAAGATGGCGCGTTTTAGGTCAAATACTCTCGTTTATTTTTTGGTCAAAATTTCTTAGTTTTGTTATTAATTTTTTTTTTTTTTTTGTTTTTTTACGCTCTAAATTTTGACTTTTAAACTTGACTTTTAAGGTTGACTTTCTTCTTTTAAAGTCAAAGGGCAATTTGGTAAACAATGAGTTCTTCAAGCGTCCGGTCAATAAAGTTTCGTATACTCCATCTTGTGAAACTACGATTAAGTTTCTTCGTGAACATAATGATTTGCTAAAAAAGGAAAGTTGAGGACCTAAAATATGAGAGGTACACTATTAGGAAAGAACAGAAACCATTAAAAGCACAACTAGAAGCCAAAATCAAGGATTTTTGAAAGCTTCAATAAGAATATAGCAATAAATGTGAAAATTATGACTATATTAAGAGACAACTTGCCTCTATGTCTGCCGAGCTTGGCACATTGAAAAACAAATTTGAAAATGCAGATTTCAATTTTAGAAAATATAATGTGTCAAGTGAGGTAGTTGCCTCAATGATTGAGAAGCAATTAAAATTCAAAGATAATCAAAACAAGGGTCTAGGGTATCGCAGTGTTCCACCGCCTTTTAATGACAACTATAACTCACCCCTTGAGACCAATGAGGAAGAAATGCCTGCTCAGTATGGTCAAACCCCTATCCCGGATTCAGTTAATACTAAACCATCTGGGTCTACTGAGGCTATTCAGGTGAATGTTTATGATGCTTCTACTTCATATGCAGGTAAAGTAGTAGAGGATAAGAGCAAGGAGAACACTATTGAACAATCTAATGACTCCTTGAACTCTGAATCTGTTTTTTCTAACTCAATTACTTCTGATCAACCTGATGTTGAGAAATATAGGCCACCAAATCAAGTGAAACAGCCGACTTGCTGCAAGTGTGCTTGTGGGAACAATAAAAAACGAGGCAAGGACACGCCACCATGGGCAGGAAGAAACAACTTCCTAGTGAAGAAAAATACATGTTTTCACTGTGGAACACCTGGACACATTTCCCGAAACTGTCCAAATCATGCATACGTTCCTTACTACGCACAAGGATGGCAGAATGCACCAAGAGGGAGATTCTCCAAAAGAAATCCTTTGAGGTCACGTTTAGACAATGGCGACTGGAATGCCAACAAGGCCAAGAAAGCAACTCCCAAGGGCAAGAAGGGAATATCGGCCAAGAAGCCAAGCTCAAGAGATGCTCTTGTGAAGCCAAGACCGGTTAGGTTAAAGTCATCTCAGCAGCCAAATTGAAGTTCCAAATCAAGTGTAGAGGCACCCATCCGCTCGAACAAGAAATGGGTTAAACCTAACTATAGGTGGGTACCAAAGGTTCAATCTCCCAAATCTTCTAATGATGCTAAAATTTCTACATCATCTATTTGAGATAAGCAAGATATGTCATGGGAGAGAGTACCATGCAAGGATGAAAAAGGTCAACCCGGTTTTAAAATGGATTGGGTTCCAAAGACCAACTAATCCTGCTCTGTGTCGGAGCAACAATAGAGGTATATCATTAGACTTTGTTTTGTTGATAGTGGCTATTCCAGGCACATGATAGGACGCATCTCTTAGTTATACAAAACTCATAACATTGTTTGAGAGTATGTGTCCTTTGCGGGAAAAAAGAAAGGAAGGGATCACTCATGCGTTTTGGGCTTAATGACATGAAGAATTTTCAGATCTCTTATGAGATTATGCGTGTTGTTCTCAGACCTTCTGGATGCAAATTCAATCAGTGAATTATGGTTTGAGTTTTCTTCTCTATACTCCTGAGCGTATCCTAAACTGATTCATTTTGAAGACAATTTTTGATTTCCTTAGATGTCTTTATTTAGTAGGTTGTTTTGGGAAGTGATATCAAGAAAGTGATAACGGGAAGTCAAAACATGTGTAAGGGACTGAATATGAATTGTCTAGACTCTATGTTCAATGTGTTAGTAGGCACGAAGGATTTGACTGTGTGGATTTAGATAGAATTGTTTGGAGTGACCATACAACGCTCGGGTAGATTGAGCAGTGAGATAAGCACGGGAACCCATGGGATACACTAAATTAATACTCATCTAGAACAGTGATTCAATTTTTCTTTGATATACGAACTTATGTCCTTAATTCTGGTTCTGATAGGGTGACTGGGGGGGGGGGGGGGTCTGATAAAGTAGGTATGTAGGAAATTATTTTCTTGCTTTCTATCTGTCAGTCATATGTTTCTTCCTCTGCATGATTGGAAGAGATCTGACCTGGATTGCAACATATGCAACTCTAATTCTACGCACCTCCTTATCTATGAAATTCTTTCTATCTATTAATCATATGATGTCTCCTCTGCATGATTGAAATGATCCAACCTGGAACATAGCATATGTAATATTATACCTCTCAATCCCTCTATCTCTTTTAGTCATATGTTGTCCTCTCTGCATGATTAAAAGAGATCTGACGTGGGACACAACATATACACCTATTTCTAAATCTCACTTCCTCCTTAATAATTGTCTACTCACCTAAAGTAAGGAGTTTGTTGGATGTTCTTGATAACCAGTGTATATCGGGAAGTGGGGAGCATGTTCTAGTGCAACTAAAATTGAATCATTTAGAGGTTGTCTATAGATCTCACTGCTTAATTTAAGTGGACAACAATACCCGTGGTCATCGTCAGCTAAATGGTCTTTAGAAAAGTTTGTTGATATCCTTCGTGTTTAAGTGGACCACAATACCGACAATTGACCATAATTATTCATGAAGGTGAAGGTACTGGTAAACAAAGTTAAGATTGCCTCACAATTTTGATCCCAAATATTTTTGTTTTAGTTAAATTTGTTCATAGTTTTTTCCTATGCACAAATTTAAGGGGAGAATTAAAAATAGTTAATTAAAAATATCAAACAAAAATCAGAAAATTTAAAAATCTAAAAACAGTGTTATTTCTTGTTCAGAAAAATCAGAAAATACAAATATATTTTTGTTTCTATTTTATTTTTTTAGAAAATTTGAAAAAATCCAAAAATATTTTTGTTTCTATTTTATTTTTTAGAAAATATGAAAAATTCAAAAAAAAATTGTGTGCTAAGTTTTCTTTTAGTCTTTGTTTGTCTTGAAAAGTGAATTCAGATGTAAATGAGACTCGTGGAGACTGTATCAAGAATTTTTGAGCCTAGACTTCATTTGTGAGTGTCGAAGAATTTTATTCGAAGGAGCAAAAAATGAAGATTATTCTTTCAATATTCAATCTTTGAACCCTGGTAGCAAGGTTAAGGAATTGAAGATTTTGTGACAAATTGCATTGAAGCCTCCTCAATCAGTCTGCTGCTATCTATGAACCTGCTGAAGTGATCCAAAAGATTCATTCTCTCTAATATTCTGTCTAAAGATTCTCAAGCTGAAAGCGC